TTCCCACCCTGAGGCTCATCTCTAGAAAGCCTGGTTTCCAGCCCTTCCCCCTTCAAACCTAGTTTAAAGTCCTCCTGATCAGCCCTGCCAACTTATGGGCTAGAGTTCTTTTGCCCCTGCTAGAGAGATGAAGCCCATCTGACTCTAGCAGGCTGGGTAACACAGAATATGCCTCATGGTCAAAAAAGCCAAAATTCTGCTGGTAGCACCAATCCTTTAGCCACCTATTGATGAGGTGTGTTTTCCTACTCCTCTCCTGCCACTGCAGGAACTGAGGTGAACATCACCTGTGCTCCTGTCCACACACCCTGCAATGCTTTCACAATTCACTGGAACATTTTCCTCCAACTGTATCCAGGTATGCTTTTAAGCTTCTAGTCAAGTTTAGGATCAAAAGCCCAAGTTCTGTAATTTTCAATTACTTTGGTAAGATGAGTCAGCAAGGTGTGCCTAATCACACACTTCTCACTTTCTCTGCTTAAGAGAAAAAAGGTAAGCAAAAGTCTCTTCAAGTAGCAAGCAACAGTCTCTTCTGTTGATTTTTTTAAAGTTATGTTTCGCAATAGATGTATTCAGTTCCTGTGTATTAGGAAAGTATAGAAGTTAAAAGCTTTAAAAATATTATCTACATGAAAAATTTAATCTCACTTGACAGTATGAAGTGTTTACAGAAGACTGCAATTTATTGTTGAAATGTGGCTGGAAATGAAGTTCTGAATCCATGCTTCAGGCTTTCATGTCTTTCTCAAAATGCAACTTCCTTCCTCAGTCAGTCCAAGGCACTACTTTTAGCTATTAACTATATATTAACTATGTATATTTTATAACTATATATATATATATTAACTAACCTTCTAGAAACCTTTAATTGAAAATTTTGAAACCCCACAACATTCATAACATCTAGAAATCAGTTCTTTTAATGCAAAAAATCTGAAGATTCTCAGGAAATTACTGGTACATAGAACGTAATTTCACTATTATGTGTGACATAATAGCTACTTTCAATACTTTAGAAGTCAATAAAATCAGAATTACAGCTTAAATATTTATTACAGCTACTGAGCACACAAGTAGTTTAGCAAACTCTACTTTTAGATGGACTTGAAATCCTTCTTAAGTTGGCCTCTCACATCCCTTTTCAGAAATTCACTTTGAAAGAGCTTTGTGAGACATTTCCTAGGTAATCCTTCTCTAAGACACTCTAAGCAGATTTCTCCTCTCTGCTCTGTTAGGTAGTTCTCTACTAACACTTTTTTTTCAGTTCCCCCTGCAGTGCATGCAAAGGAGTACCTGCTGATGCCGAGTCAGGCTGTGTGCCCTGCAGGGACCACACACAGCTTGGACAGATGTTCCCCAAGGACAGATTTTCATTATTATCCTTTACACTGTGGAGTAAATGGCATTAGTGCATTTTAGAGATATGTGATGTACAGCACAATGTGCCATTTATGCCTTTTCAGGGAGCAGATTCAAAGGAGGGTATAATCTGTGGTATGTGTGTGAAGAATCTTCATCTTTTTCATCAGAGTTCTACATTTACCAGAGGGGGTATATCAAAGCACAGTGATGTGTATATGGAAAAAGTACAATTAATACTAGTCGTACTGCACCTAACTTTGGGATGTAGTTGCAGCCCATTGTTGTATTTCATGTATATGTATGCACTTCTTTGTACATCAGAGTGAAATTTAATTACCCACTGAAATAGTTCAATTTCAAATCTCCAATGACTCCTTCTTCTTTGTACATCAGAGTGAAATTTAATGATTTATTTTGAAATTTCTATAATGAAATTATAGATATTTCTATATTTCTTAAAATTTCTATAATGAAATTTTAAGATTTATTATCTTTCCAATTTATAATCTAAATGGAAAATAATTATTTTTAGAATGATGTAAATCCACTTTCACTCCACAATGTACGGCAAAGACAGAACTATCTCTGTTCTCCACAGTAACTTTCACCAAATCACTTCACATGCTTTGGCTAAAGTTTCCATTTCCATTAATTGGCACTTGCAACAAACTTTAATAGAGGTTTACAACAACTCTGAATAAATATTCTAAGTTATGCAATATTTTGCACCAAAAGGTTAGGTCACTCGATCTTAGAGGTCTTTTCTAATCCATGACAAGAGACAAGAAGCAGTTGCTCAAATGAAGAGTAGCAGCCAACAAATGTGTCAACAGCGAAGAGGGAATTTTATATATATATGAGAATTACGCTATATTCTTCAGTGCACAAGAAAGATATTTGACAGAGACCTACTCAAGCAAGCTTGGGTACAAGAAGCATTTTGGTTAATATCATCCAGGATGATATTCTTCCCCAAGTGGGAAGAAGAGCAGGGTAAATAACCAGTGAGATCTACACTATGTCAGTGAGGTTGCCTGTAGCCAAGTCCATGCCCTGAGAACTAACCTTGTTTCTCTGTCTTCCAGTGCATAGTGTAGACATACTATTAACTTTAATTTTTTTCTTGAGAATGACTGTATACAGACTGAACAACATCTTGTTTTATAAATCTTCACTGTACATTTTTTGCCAGTTTATACCATCTCAGCATATGAATTAATTTATTTATTGCCTGAACTCACATCTGACAAGCTGCTGGTGTATGTAAACTTGATACTTTTACCAGTCTCCCTTTCAGGCACCAAGATAATTTTATTAGGCTTGTTGATTAGATACTGGATTCCTTGTCCACGTGGAGGCCAGTGACAAGTGGTGTCCCTCAGGGGTCAGTGCTGGGGCCAACACCGTTCAGGATCTTTGTCGGCAACATGGACAGAGGGATTGAGAGCACCCCCAGCCAGTTCGCTAACAACACCAAGCTGTGTGGGGCAGTCACAGCTGGAGGGAAGGGATGGGACATCCAGAGGGACCTTGACAGGCTTGAGACGTGGAACAATGCAAACCTCATGAAGTTCAACAAAATGAAGTGCAAGGTCCTACATCTGGGACATCACAATCCCAAGCACATCTACAGGTTGGGTGGGGAAGTAATTGAAACCAGCAACAAGGAGAAAGACTTGGGAGTGACAGTGGATGAGAAGCTCACCATGAGCTGCAGTGTGCACTAGCAGCCCAGAAAGCCAATGGAATCCTGGGCTGCATCAAAAGGAGTGTGGGCAGCAGGTCAAAAGAGGTGATTCTCAATTCTGCTCTTGTGAGACACCACCTGGAATACTGCACACACTTCTGGTGTCCTTAACATAAGAAGGACATGGAACTGTTGGAGCAAGTCCAGAGGAGGCCACAAAGTTGATTCAGAGGACTGGAGCATCTCTCCTATGAAGACAGGCTGAGGGAGCTGGGGCTGTTCAGCCTGGAGAACAATAGACTGTGTGGAGACCTCACAGCAGCATTTCAGTAC